TATAAAAAAAATAGATAACGAATGACGATAGAAATCGTTTATAAATAGTAATAGCGATAAATAATGATTCTTGACAATTTAATATTATTTATTTATCATTGAAATTTTGTTGATTTGTTGTTTTCAGTTACTAGAAATGTTGAAATTTTATGCCAGATTTGAAATCAATGAAGAAAGTGGTGATCCTCTCACTGATCATGATATGACTCAATTACATTATACCAAGATTACTTCACTTCAGGTACAAAATATATCTATGTCTGTATTTTGAACGCTTAAAAAATTCTTTAATTTTTAAAATTAAATTTTGTATCATTAGGAAAAAAATTCTAAAAAAATAATAATAATAAATAATTTTTCTTATCAGATAATTTAAAAATGGCATATATATTTTAAATTATATTTTTTATATTCATTTTGATATTTTAATTTTTGTAAATAAATATTTATTGTAATATTTGAGTTATGAATCATTTAAACAATTCTTCTGTATTATTTGTCAAATCATCAACATTGTCGTTAGAATGGGCGTTCACGTATTAAATCCAAAGGAATACAAAAGCACAAACCAAAAAACAAAATTCGAACTCTGCACAGAAAGCAGTTTTTGCGAAGTTCCCGGATTTACGAAGCTTTGCACTGGCGAACGTGGCAAGCGTTGATACAAGAGAAGCTCTTTATAAACATTTTGGTTTACTTAGGTAATACTTTAACATTTTGAATCCTACTTATTGTATACTTTTCTAAATTATAAATTATTTGCATATTTCTTGTTTATAAAAATTTTTAGTCAAGAAAAATTAAGATCAATCGCAAGCTATCTCAGTTTGGTACCATCAAAAGAACGCGAGAAAGAAGAGAATTGGTATCGGTATGATATAGACTTTCTTCGAGAACTTTTGGTAAGTTGAATAACAAAATAAATAAATTAAAAAAAATAAGAAATTCAAAGTAATAGATAATATAAATTTTTAGATTTCACGTCACGAGCGTAGAGCTTCTCAATTAGAAGAACTTAATGAAATGCCACTTTATCCAACAGAAGAAATCATCTGGAATGAAAGCATTGTACCAACAGAATATTTTTCTGGCGAAGGTTGTTTAGCTCTGCCAAAACTAAATTTACAATTTCTCACTTTGCACGATTATTTATTAAGGAACTTTAATTTATTTCGGCTGGAATCAACCTGTATGTATAAAATTAATATCATTGATTAAATAATAATAAATAATGATATAGAATAAATAACAATATGAATATTTATAGATGAAATACGACAAGATATTGAAGATGCTGTAAGTCGACTGAGTCCTTGGTAAATTACTTTCTTTTATATATATATATGTGTATATATATGTGTGTATATATATATGTTGAATTATCAAAATGATATGTTAATAATAATTTATATTTTGTAGGCGAGCAGAGGATGGTGGTGTTTATTTTGGTGGTTGGGCTAGAATGGCTCAACCTATTACACAGTTTGCTGTAGTTGAAGTAGCAAAACCTAATATTGGTGAGAAAAGACCATCCAGAGTACGTGCCGACGTCACAATAAATTTAAGTGTTCGTAAAGAGATTAAATCTGAATGGGAAAATCTTCGAAAACATGATGTTTGTTTCCTTATTACAGTTAAACCACAAAATCTAATTGGTAAAATTTTGGTTATCCTATTATATTCTTTATAATTAGTTATAATAAATTAAATAATTGTAATTTGATAATTTATTATTATTTAGGTACGAAATATAGTCATAAGTTACCTTTTGTACCACAAGTTGGATTAACAACTGTTCGAGGATGTGAAGTTGAAGGTATGTTAGATTCAAATGGTAGAGTAATTGAAGATGGTCCTGAACCACGACCGATTTTACCTGGAGATACTCGTACATATAGAGTTTGGTTAGATTGCAATCAATACAGAATCGATATGGATAATGCTAGTCATGGTGGTGAAGATGTCTATGAAAGTTTTAATGTCATAATGAGACGTAAACCTAAAGAAAATAACTTCAAAGCAGTTTTGGAAACGATAAGAGAACTTATGAATACAGAATGCGTTGTACCTGATTGGCTGCATGATATAATTCTTGGATATGGTGATCCTGGTGCTGCTCGTTATTCTAGGTACATATCAAACAAATTTTATATAAACATTATATTGTATAAATGTTATACTTAAAATAAAAAAATATTAGAATTGCTATTAGAATATATTTTATATAATTACATTTAATGTTTTACTAGAATGCCAAATGAAATTGCAACTATGGATTTCAACGATACATTTCTTGACATAAATCATTTAAAAAATAGTTTTCCTCAATACGAAATTAAAATTTCTACTGATGAAGAATCAAAATTAGTACGACCTTTTCGTTTAACATTTGAAGATGTAGTTGCTAAACATAATAATGAACCAATAAAGAAAATTATTAAAGTTGAACCTCATGTACCACCTAGTAGAGGTCCTTATAAGGCTAACGAACCAAAAAAGTATAAAAATATCTATTTTTTTAATAATAATAAAATAATGATTAATGATAAAATATAATAATATTACATAAAATTTTATTGCAGAAATCAAATTCCTTTTACACCAACACAAGTCGAAGCTATTCGTGCAGGTATGCAACCAGGATTGACGCTTGTCGTAGGTCCACCTGGTACTGGAAAAACAGATGTTGCTGTTCAAATTATTTCAAATCTTTATCATAATTTTCCTAATCAAAGAACACTTATAGTTACACATTCTAATCAAGCACTTAATCAACTTTTTGAAAAAATTATGGCACTTGATATTGATGAAAGACATTTATTACGTCTTGGTCATGGAGAAGAAGCACTAGAAACTGAAAAAGATTTCAGTAGATATGGTAGAGTTAATTATGTTTTAGCTAAACGTTTGGATCTCTTAATGGAAGTTCAAAGATTGCAGGTTTGTTATTTATATATTATTAATTAATATTATTATAATTAAGACATTTTCTCATATATAGTATTCAATATTTATATTTTTAGGAATCTTTAAATGTAAAAGGTGATGTAGCTTATACGTGTGAAACAGCAGGACATTTTTTTATGTATCAAATATTAACAAGATGGGAACGTTTTGAAACAAGAAGTAAACAAAGACAAAAAACAGAAAATGATTCTGCTTTCATTATAGATGAAGAATTTTCATTTCATAAATTCTTTGATAATGCACCAAAACCATTATTTAAACGAAATACTTTCGAAGAAGATTTTGAAATTGCACGTAGTTGTTTCCGGTAAGTATTCTATTGAACAATTTTATATAGGAGATTATATTTATAATTAAATCAAATATCATTTTTCTAGATATATAGAGCGAATTTTTGCCCAATTAGAAGAGTTTAGAGCTTTTGAATTATTAAGATCTGGTTTAGATAGATCAAAATATTTATTAGTTAAAGAAGCAAAAGTTATTGCTATGACTTGTACTCATGCTGCCCTTAAAAGACGTGAACTTGTAGATATGGGATTTAAATATGACAATATTCTCATGGAAGAATCTGCTCAAATTTTAGAAATTGAAACTTTTATACCACTATTATTACAGAATCCTCAAGATGGATATAATCGATTAAAACGTTGGATAATGATAGGAGATCATCATCAATTACCACCAGTTATTAAAAATATGGCCTTTCAAAAATATTCAAATATGGAACAATCTCTTTTTGCAAGATTTGTTCGATTAGGTGTTCCTACAGTTGATCTTGATGGTCAAGGTCGTGCAAGACCTAGTATTTGTAATTTATATAACTGGCGTTACAAGAAATTAGGTAATCTCGCGCATGTGGAAAATAGTCCAGAATATTTAGTAGCAAATGCTGGATTTTTATATGACTTTCAACTTATTAACGTCGAAGATTTCAATGGAGTGGGTGAAAGTGAACCTAGTGCTTACTTTTATCAAAATCTTGCTGAAGCTGAGTATTGCGTAGCTGTATTTATGTACATGCGTCTTCTTGGTTATCCAGCTGATAAAATAAGTATATTAACTACTTATAATGGACAAAAGCATTTAATAAGAGATGTGATAAATATAAGATGTGCTAGCAATCCTTTAATAGGTAGACCAAATAAAGTAACAACGGTTGATAAATATCAAGGTCAACAAAATGATTATATATTATTATCTCTTGTAAAAACACGAGCTGTAGGTCACTTACGAGATGCACGACGATTAGTAGTTGCTATGTCAAGAGCACGTCTTGGTCTTTATGTTTTTGCTAGAGTGTCTCTTTTTAAAAATTGTTTTGAATTAACACCCGCATTCGCTCAGCTAATGCAACGGCCATTAAAACTACAGCTCCTTCCTCAAGAACATTATCCTACAGAAAGACTTAACAATACTATTCCCTCAACTTTACCAATGGAAATTGAAGATATGCCACATATGGCTAAATTTGTCTATGATTATTATATAGAAAAAGTTAGTGGTATGAAGGTAAGTTAAATTTTTTTTATTCATTAATTATTAAAATAATTATTAAACAATAAATAATATTTAATTATATATTATAGGAATCACAAAAAGTGTGGCAAAAACCAGGTATGGTGCAAACACCCAATAATCCATCTTATAAAATTTCTGCTCATCCTGGAGCAGATGATGATACAGATGATGAAGAACTTAATCAAATGGATGATGAACAGGAAAATGTCAAAGAAGAAAATAGAGAATTAAAATTTGAAATAATTAAAAATTTAGTCGAAGATTTAACTTCAGAAAATGAAGATAATGATTAAGAGGTTCCATAAATCTATATATTCATAAAGATAAAATAATAATAAACAAATATTTTTACTGAAAATATTTTCTTTATTTTACTTTTTATTAAAATTATACTTATTATATAATGAAATACTATTGAAAATTATTATAAAAAAATTAATTTATTATAATATAATTTAATTTTATTATAATAATATTAAAATTAAGATTTTTTTTATATTTATTACATATAATATTCTGATCTTTATATATTTTAGTCCACATTTACTTTTATTATTTATTAAAATATTTTTAATAAATAAATATATTTTTTTTCATTCATATTTTTCTTTAATCTTCGGATGTAACGCTTTATGCATACATATGAGTATATATACATATATATATATATGAGTTAGGCCAGAATATTATAAACTGCTTATACTGCTATTATGTTAGAAATGATATTAATCCGATATAAAAAAATCACGATGTCATGTCAATTCATTAAGATTTAATATTTCTTTTTGTTTTAATATATGTTTTTCTGATTGTAATTTTTTGTGTCTTTCAAATAATTTTTTGGAGTTTTTGTTAGTTATTTGAACACGTGATGGCACATAACTATTATCAAATTTCATTGTTTTATTAGTGAAATCTGGATGATATTCTTCAATGAATGCTTTTACACCTTTTGAATTTGGAATATATTCTTCAGGATGATACAAAACACTTGTAGCACTAGGCTCATATGTATCATACGATTTATCTAATGAATTTATAGAATTCGGAATATATTGTACTTCTTCCATTATTTTTTTACTTTGTGATACCATAGGAGAATATTCATTTGAAAGTATTTGAATTTGCTTTAATGTATTTTTATTGCTTTGTATATAATTCAAATTTGCACATAATTTTTTTGACATAGGTGCATTTGGCACATATTCTTCCAATATATCATTTTTAATACTTTCAATTGGAAAACATCTCTTTATTTTATCATTTTTTGCATCAATAGATACCTTCATCACTAAATCATTATTTTCTGGTTCTTTTGATAAATTATAATTATCTTTTTCATGAATATAATTGGAATTTTTTCTAACTATATTTTCTGTTATTTGATTCCAAATTTCTTTTTTTTTTGTTATTACTTTGGGCAATTCTGATTTTGTCAATTTTCTTTTTGCAGGAGATACATTTACTCTAATTGTAGGAAATGACATAATATCTTTTACACCTTCTGATGGTTCAAATGTGTATCTATGATTTATAAAAATATTTATATAAATAAATAATAATAATTAAATATTGTGAGATAGCCATTGATGTATATACTTTTTTAATTACAATGTAATAAATTAAGATAATATGTTATATATAATATAAATTAAGATAATAAAGACAATATATTATCATTATAAATTAAATACAATAATCATATTAAAACAATTATCATATTATTATATTATATATAATTATTATATATTAAATATATAACAATATATAATAAATATGTACTTTATATATATCAAAAAATATATTTAAATAAGAAAAATTAAAATTAATTTTAGAAATAATGATAGAAAATAATTTTATTTACGTGACTTCCAGTTGTCTTGTAGATTTTTTCCATTTGCATTTTTTAAAATTTTGAAGTGATTCTTCTGTTTGAAAATTGCGTAAAATTGCTTTCTCCAAAATTTTATATAATGCTATCCAATCTTCAAGATTAAGCCATTTATTAGTAGAAACTTTTTTTTCTTTAATTTTTATTATCTTTTCTTGAACAGTAACGACAACCGTAACTAAACAATTATTTGAAGCCTACAAATATCGCTTCTGTTTTATTTATATAAATGTAATTGACAGCTGTTAATAGCTATAAATTGATACCTTAATAATTTCCAAATATTGACCATTACAAAACATTGTTATAATGTATTTTAAATTGTTCAATTATTTTGTAGATTATTTGCTTTCAATTATTTGTTCTAATTTTGTATTATGTTCGTTCAAAAAGTTATTGATGATCTTCTTGATGATGAATTTTGCCTTGACTTAGATATAACGTCAATGTAGCGCACTGACTCACGCATGTCAGCATACAAGTGAATATGAATATTAATAAACAAAAATAAAAAATGAAAATAAATTAAGAAATTTATAAATAAAAAATTTTAAAAATTTGTGTAGTAATCTAATTATTTATAAATTTATATATTATATATGTTAAAATGATTAAAATATATGAAAAATATATGAAAAATAATAAAAAACGTTTAAAATATTTTTATTTTATCGATTTAATTTTAAAAAATGTATATATTTTTCATTATATTATAAAATTCTATATATTAAATTATATAGATCTAAATTTATAATCATTATTATTTAGTACAATATAATTTGTAAATATATTATTTACAAATTATAATTATAATATATTTACAAAAAAATATTATTCTTATTTAAAATTAAAAAATAATAAATATTTCTTATTTTCTTCTTATTTTATTGTAAAATTTAATATATTTATAATATAAAAATTTTTATATAAAAAATATAATATTTTAATCTTTTCTTAACTTCAGGAATTTACATAAAAATAACTAATGATCAAATATTTCATTAAATATATATATGTATATATTTAGTAAGACATTTTTATATACATGTTTCAGATATTATAATATCTTTTAAAAAAATAAGAAAACAGTAATGCCAGAAAAAAAATTAAATATTTTAGAAAAATTTATAATTTTTAGTGAAACAAATACTAAGATAATAAAGGTATATTCTAACCTATATTTTGTTTTACAAATAATAATTTATCAATTTTAATTTCAGATTTTCAGTTATGGAATCACTAGTATAAGCTTAGCAATTGCACTATATCAAATTAAACCTGTATGTATAATAATAATAATATTTTGTTTAATTATAATTTTATATATTTTTGTTATTGTATTTTTAGTTTGTTAAATTTAGAAAACCATCCAGTATACCATCTCGTTTTTTACACAAAAAAAATTCAACTTCAAGGTACTGTGACACATATAGAACCCAATTATGGTACACTTCTAATGGTTGATCATAAGCCATTAATACCTTTGCCTCGATTAAGTAATCCAAAATATTTACCAATTAAAATAGCAGGTCTTGATATAACAGTTAATGGTAAGCAAAGATTAAATTATTTTTTGATTAAAAGATCTATAAATATATTATTTTAATTAAAATTATTTCTAGGTATCAGTTGGTTACAAACAATTGTTAATAGAAAAGATATAAATTTCATACCTTTAGCTACAGAAAAAAATTATGTAGTTTGCATAGTATCCATGCAACAAAATAAGGTAAAAAATAATCTTTTTATTTTGTTCATTTCTTTAATTTAAGGATTTATAATTTTAAATTATATAGGAACATATAGAAATTGGTAAAGAATTAACAAAACTTGGTTTTGCTATAATAACAGAAGATTCTTTAAAAAAATTGATAAAAGATAAAGATATCTTAAATTATTACAAATGTTTGTTAAATGCACAAAAATGGGCACAACAAAAAAGAAATGGACACTGGCATTTTGTTAAAAATGCTACTCTTTTATGGAAAATCCAACAAAATTTAAGTAATAAATTGAAGTCAATATTGCCTATGTTTGTAGTATAACAACTTAATATTTAAATACAATTAATTATAAATTTATCCTTAATTATTTTATTAAATTTTAATCTGAATGAAACATATTTTTTCAATATAATAAATATGTTCAAAGTCTTACATATAGCAATCATAAATATGTACTTAAAGATTTCGAATTTTGTTTGTTCTTATAAATTAGTTGAATAAAAGACAATATTTAAAAAAGGAAATTATTTTTATATTATACATCCCTTTATACCTTTAAAAGATTTCTTTTCCATCATTATGTTCAAAATTAATTTACATAAATATATATTTTATTAAAGATAAACTATAAGGTATATATTTATATATTACATATAGCATATTCTAAATAGAAAAATATGCTAAGTTAGCATAGAAAAATAGAAATTAAAAATTTAATGGAAGATTTATATTATTTTTATAATAATAAGAAACATTTAATAACAAATTTAATTAAATATTATAAACAAATATGTAATCTAATATAAATTATTTCATTTATAAAACAATTGCTTTAATAATCTTATTATATTATGCAATTTTTTTCTGAAATGCCAATTTATATCAAATCAATAAATATTTATAATAAAATAGATTTTTTCTTTTTTTTCATTTGACTTTCATTTTCATTATACAATTAAATAAAATTGGAATTTACAAAATGCATATATACACATGTATTTATATATATGTGTATATTAAATTATATTATATTAATACATATAATATGGAATGATTTATAAAAACAACATGATATTTTCAATTTTATATACAAACCTAAATCATTGTGTCTCTAACACATTTTTCAATTATATTAAAATTAATATACAATAAAATAATATTATTTCTTTTAACATTGTTGGAAAAATATAAATAAGAAATAAATTCTATAACACTAACATAACCTTATACATTATAAATTTTATAAAATATAACAAATAAGTCGATATGTTTGAAATGTAGAACTTTTAACATGGAAGAATTAATATAATGCAGTTTTGAACTTAAATATCTCAAATTATACACATTGATTTACTTCTTATTGGAATTATCATCTTTTTTTACAAATTTAGATTTTCCAAACTGAGTCTCATGAATATCTTTTTTAACAGGCTGATTTGATTTCATTTTTGCTTCATTATCTTTGTTTGATATTTCATGTTTAGTCTGTGATTTGGAGTTATCTTTTTTAATTTCATTTGAAACTTTTTTTGATGTTTCAGATTTAATTTGTGAGTTAAAATTATCTTTCTTAATTTCCTTTGAATCATCTTTTTCAATTTTTAAATTATCTTTCATAACTTCTTTTGATGTTTTTGAAGATGATGATGATGGTGATGGTTTTGAAGAGATACTGCTAGATTGTTGATTTATAGATTTTGGTGTTGTTGATTTTGATATTGTTGCATCTGAATTTGATTTTTGTGTTGTTTGTGCTTTAATAGTTGATTTCAGAGATGATTTTATAACTTCTTCTTGTTTACCAGTTAATTTTCTAGATTTTGCTTCTATTTTAACATTTGGTGTAGTCGAAACTGTTAAAAATGGTTTTTCTTGTTTCTCTTCTTTTATATCTAAAGATTTCTTATTATCTGCTAAATTTGGAAATACTTGTTTTAATGAAATCCTCATAATATACTCATTCCAAGGAGAACCAAGCCATAAATAACCATTATATATATGAGCAGAAGATATATCAGAAACATTCTTTATGAATAAAGTATCCAAAATTTTTCCTGTTTTATCCATTCTAAGAATTACTGAAGTTCTGTTTGGTTGTATATATTTTGCTACATTGAATGAACCTAATATATGTAACACTCTTTCAGAATAATAATTTGGATAAATATCTTGTAATAATTTAAATGGAGCTTCTATTAAATAAAATAATCTCAATAACATTTTTCGTATATATGGATGAGGTATAAGAGATTGAATTAAATAAGGATTATTAGAATCTATTAAGATTATCAAAGATACTAAAAAGCCTCCTTGCTCATCACTATTTATATTATCAGGTACACCAGGTAAACCTTCTGCAAAAATTTCTTGTTGTCCAGCTTTTGAACCTTTTAAATTATATTTAATAATACGTGAACTAATAGATTCTGATACAATTACAAAACTTTCATCATCACTTAATAAAATACCATTTGCAAATCCTAAATTCTTCAGTAGTACTTCATTTTTTTTTGTTGCTGCATTATATCGAATAAGTCTATAAAGTAAAATTTACATATTATAAAAATAAATGTAAGTTAATTAAAACTTAATTAAAAATTTAAAACTTACCTTCCTGATGGATTAGCTAAAATTGAATACATTCCATCATAAAGATAAAAGTCTGTACTTGAATCCGTCCAATAAATATCGCCATTCTTTGCTATATCCAATGAATTGACTATTTTTGGAATTTTTCCATCAATAGGTTCAGAACTATTGACTATATTTATATATTCTCGTGTATTAATGTTTACTTTAAAAATACCATAGTAAGCATCATTTACAAATAGTTCTCCTTTATCATTAAATTTTAAACCAAGAGGTCTACCACATTTTTCTTCTTGCCATAAACCATCTACAAATATCATTTTTGTTTAGCATATGCATTTTATTAAAAAGAATTTGATAAAAATTTTAGTTTTTATATTTATTTATAATTAAATTTATTTGACTTGAATACGTGATACAAAAAATAAAAAATAATAATATATTAAAAAAAATTAAAATCTAAATATTTTCGAATAATTAGTACCACAATTACATACCACACTTTTGACCAAATTTTACAAGTGGTTTAATAAGATTTTCTTCAATTTGTACAACATAACCTCCATATATACCAGTATATATTTTTCCATTAAATGAAGCAAAATCTTCCGGACCATTAACTTCTCCAGAAAACAATATTTCTATTTCTTCTAATCGACTTTTAAATTCAGTTTGTGTATTTGGATATTTTATGCTTAAAAATTTATTATAAAATAATAATTATTTATGTATATGCATAACACATGTATTATGCACGTGTATAATATATTAAAAAGTTATATTGTTATAAAATAAATATCATACCTATATTCGGAAACTTCTACTTCTGGAGGTATACCCGGTAGAAAGGTAATAACAGTTAAAAAAAAACCGATATAAATTATTACGGTACCGATAGATTTTAAATATCCCATTATTTGAGTAATTAACTACTAATATTTTGAAAATATGATATTTTTAGACAACTTTAAAAACATAAGATTTTTTTAATGTTCCTTCACTACTTCACTAATTGTACTGAGAAAAAAGAATTGCTACTTTTAAGTAACTGTTTCTTGCCAGTATAGATAACGGCATTCACAATTTTAATGGCGGTGTATACCGTAAATTATGCATCTTTACGAATATCAGCAAAAGTAAGATCAAATAAATGCCACGCGGACGGAAGATGTCGATGTTAACAATTTCCGTTGACCATATGATTCTCTAACTATTTGAATAGTCATGAAATTTAATGATCAACAATTAATTAAAAAATTAAAAAAAATTGTGAACATGAACATTTATTAATTAATTTTATTAATTAATTTATAGTTCTGAATAATGCATTTACTTTTGAATTAATTATATCTATACTAATATATTAATACGTTTTATACATCAAAAAAATATTTAATTCATTTGCAATACTTGTCTTTCATTATAAATAATGTTTATATGTTTTTTATAGAATAAAATATTTGTTCACAATTTTAAGAAATATAATTTTTTAAAATGATTAAAATAAAAATAATATTAAACAAAAATTTATTTCAATGAAGATAAAATTAATATCATTTTATACCAATATGAAATTAAATAAATAATATATAATATACAAATATTTTAATTATTTATACATTTAATCAAATAAATCTCTTAAACAATAACATATTAAAATATTATATATAAGATCATTGTACATAAAATATAATGATTATATAAAATATATTATATAATAAAATTCAATCATAATATTAAAATTCAAATTATATAAATTATATAAAAATTATATAATATAAAATTCAAATCCAAAACTTTGTAAATGTCGAAATTCTCGAAACTCGAAACTCTCGAAATGCAGAATATTTATTTCTCTTTCTCTCTTTTTTTAAAGGAATATTTAATAGTATTTTATTAAAAATTAAAATCATAATAAATTTTGATTTCTAGAATTTTCCAATCTTAGGTTCATAACAGCCAATAATAATAGTTATCTTTTGTTTGTAAAAATTTATATAAATTATTATAATGAATTAATGAAATCGTATCAATTAAAATTAGTTAAAAAATTTAAATATAAAATCAATTGAATTATTATTTATATAGATAAATAAAAATAAATTTGTATTATAAAAATATTTTCATAATTTTATATAAAATTATTTGTTACTTTTCATAAAAATAAACAATAAAAAATTTCGAGATTCGAGAACTCGAAATCTTTTAAAATATCCTTTCGAGGTTTTAATCACATTTCTAGTAAATACATTGAAAACAATATTTGTACTTAGCCTATTTCTGTTTCTATTTATTTAAATTTCTAATAACATTAAATTTTAATTATTTTCTATTCGTTATATACTTTATTATTACTTTTTATTTTTTCTTTTTTATAATACAAATATTATATGAACATATTTGTTAATGTTCATTTAAATGAAATATATATATTTTTACGTTTAAATTAATTAAACATAGCATTGTTTTAAATTGAAATATAATAATTTAAATATTATTAGCAATGGGTAAGTGTAAAAATTTTAAAACAAAGAAAAATAAAGGTTAAAATGAAAGAATTACATTTTTTTTTAATTTTTTAGACAATATTGAACAACAATGCGAAGATGCAGTTTTTGAAGTTTGTGATGCTCGAGAACGATATCCATCACGATGTGCAGATGAACTTCAGAAATCTATTAAACTAAAAAATAATATGAACGTAATGAATGATTATAATAGATTCTATAGTATCTTTATAATAAATTTGTTATGAATTTATATTATATTTATTTTTTTTTAATTTTTTAAGTTTTGCTTCTTATTAAAATATTATATATATAATTATCAAATATATATATTTTGCAGATGTTGAAGAAATTTCAAAAATCAATTATAAATGACGTACCTGATTTGCAGCAAGACAAATATATGAAAGGAAATCTTAATTTTAATAAAAATAAAATATGTTTTAATTACTTAGATTCTAAATTACAAAATTCTATAAATAAATTGAATAATTTAAAAGCTATTATGGATCAAATTGAACGAGAAAAGACATGTTGTATTAACAAGTTATTAGAACATTAAATTGATATATAATAAATTATTCTAAATAATATACATTTATTTATTATTTATATTTATTAAATGAAATACATGTACAAAAAATTCTAAATGTACTGTTAAAAGTATAAATTAAAATATTTTAAAGTTTTTTATATTTCTATTTTTAAAAATAAATACTTTACTAACATTTTACATTTAAACTATGAATATTTATTTATATTTATGCGCCTTATAACAACTTTGGCACCTCTTGTAATATCTTGAAAAAATTTAACCATTTGTATATGCATTTCATCATTATGAGTATTATTTAATATTAATGATTTTCTTCTTGATCTGAAATATTTTTGATTTGTTAAATTTTTCTTTTTTTGCAAATATGAAAGATCTTTATAAAATTCTTGTGTTATATCTTTTATTTTAAGTAATGGCAATTTTGTTTTATTAATACAATTTTTCTGTTCTTGTAATTCTTTTTTTACATTATCTTTTGCAATATCAGAATATTTTATTCCTTCATCTCCTTTTTTAATATTGGAGATAAAGTATTTTTATCATATACTTCTTTATTATCTTTTATAGATTTTTGATAATGTTTGGATAATGTTAATATATTACTATTTGCACTTTGATTTTCTACTTCTATGTTAGAAACATTATTTTTTACTTGACATTGTATATTGCAACTCTCAATATTGTCTTTATTTATTTTATTTTCATTATTTAAGCAATTTTGTTTCATTGATAATCTATTTTTAAGTATTTTCTGTAAAGGTAAAGGTATTTGGTCCAAAGTAATAATTTGATTTGAAATAATTACTGGGACATTTAATTTGCGTGTATCTTTACATGATTCGTATATTGTATTATTACATAATTTTTGTGTTTCATTTAGAACAGAGTTTACAGAAGAATTGTAATTTGGATCATCCTTTAAATATATTTTTGAGTGTGGATTTTTATTAAAATGAAAATTAAATTCATTCTTGCCTATTTCAGATTTCAATTCTTCATTGTCAATATCATCCATTAATAAATCCTTATTTGACATTAATTGTAATTTATCTTCACATTTATCTAATTTAAGAGATAAGTCAGAAGATTGAAAAATTACATCTTGTAATGCTTCAGGTATTATGTCTTCCTCTTCTTCATCTTTTTCTTCTTTATATTTTAAATTCTTATTTACAATAAAATTTGTATTTTCTTTGCATTTATAATCATCATATGTTTCAGTATAGCAATATTTATTTGTAATATCTAAACTATTATCATTGTATGAAAAACTAGTACTAGCTAAAATAGAGTTATTACAAGTATTCCATTTTTTATGTTCTACTTCAGATGCAATATTTTGTTCATTAATTTTATTATTTGTTAAAGAATATTTTATATTATTAAATATGTGTTTGTTTATGGATTTACTTTTTAAAGTATATTCTTGATTAATTACATTTTGATATTTATTTTCGGATTCATTTTTTTTTGGTAATTCAATCATTGTTATTAAATTTTCTAAACCAAGCAAACTAGAATTTCGTAAACATTTTTCACCTTTCTTTGTTTCAACTTTTTCAGAATTTTCTAATACTTCATCTACTTCTAATTTAGTTTTCTGTTCTATAACTGCTACAGCATCTTTCCCTTGACGAATTGTAAACATTAATCCTTCCATTACTAAATCTGTAATATCAGAAGATCGTGAATCATTATTTAATGCATATTTTCTTTTTTTAGGACAAGATGACTCTTGCATTTTGATAATATTTGTAGTTATTTGTGTATAATTTGTGGTATTTTTTTTATTTACTTCTTCTAATCCATATTTTTTAATATTTCGTTTTGCATTTTCTATTTCTTTTTCTATTAAGTATTGATATGGTAAATTTGCAGAATCTGCATTAATTTCATCAAGAGTACTATTATTATTTAGCATTTTAGTATTATTTATAAAATCATCTTTGTATTCAAAGTTTTTTTGAATATTATCCTCACTTAATTTTATTTTATCATCTAATAATTCATTGTTTTTTCTATCAATTTTTTCTAATGATAATTGATGTACATTATTATCCTGTAAAAGTTAATATTATATATTAATATTTTTTTTTTATTTTATTCAATGTTATTTTCATGATATATATACCTTAAATGATATATTTTGATTTTTATAAAATTGGTTTGTATCTTCGTGGTTCGTTATTTGTTCTTCTGATTCTTCATTCACTGATAATTTTTTAAAATTATCATTTACCATATTATTATTTGATTGAAAAATATTTTCATACTGATTATCTTTTTCTGAATAATTATTTTCAGAAGAATGTATTAAACATTCAGAACATTTTTTATTTTCTTTCTCATTTTTATTTTTATATGTATGTGTATTATTTGAATTTTCGTTTTGATAAATTAAAGTATTATCTGAAGGAAAAGATGTTATTTTACATAAATTCTGTTCCATTTCTGTAGAATGGAACAGTCTTATAGTTAATATAAATGCATGAGAAAATGCTACAAGAGATCGTTTTTTTAATTTCATCATTGCAAATATTTTATCTTGTCTAGTCCATGATGTACGATCTATTTATTATAAAATGTAGTTAAGAAAATTTTAATAATGAATACAAAATATTTAAAATTACAATAAATTAAAAATTAAATTGGAAGTATATTTTTTATTTTATTATTTTATTATTTAAAAAAAGGATACTGAAAGTAACTAATAGGTTTTTTGTACAAAATTGCTGTTTTCGAGGAGGTTGATTTTTTATAATCCTTCTAATAACTTTCATTAATTCTTTTTCAAAATTAAATTGCTTTTCATTTCTATAAATATATACATTAAAAATATATTTAATTAATGATTACTAATACATTCAATTAAAATTCTAATACTAAATCAATAATATTCAATATATCTAATATCAATAACTATCAATAACATTTACCTAGTTGTATGGTGATACTTAAAAACAAATTTATATATATTGTTCTTATGACACAACCAATATGAACCAGGCACTGTTAAAGTTAAACTTTCTTTTTTTTGGGTCCAATCAATCCAGCTAGTTTTTCGTACATATATTCCAGGCATCTTCTTTCAGGTATTAAGTTTTGAAATAAAGGAACTAATTTTATTGAATCTTTTTCATTAAATGTATCTCTTATTATAATGGTAAGATAATATAATACCTTTTGCTAAAAATATAAGTATAATATATCAA